AACAAACCATGGTTGATATTTTCCGATTTCACTTGATATAAAACGTTTGCTGCATCACTTTGGCTACAAAACAAATCCGTGTGCGCATTCCCATTCTTATTTGGTCTTTTGGTTGGTCTCGGGGTGGAGCACTTGGTACAAGAGAAGCGACGTCGCGGCCGCAAATGAGAGACCACCGAGATACCCTAGTAGCTCCAGTCCGGTCAAGTGGGATCCGCTCGCATGAAAAAAGCTGCTCAGTTCATAGCCGATGGCCGGCACGAACGACGACGCTTTCCAGCGCATCGCACGTGGCGGCGTCGGGCGCGGAATGATGTTGCGGTCGTAAATGCACTCGTAGCCGCGGTAGTTGCTCAAGATCTTGGATGGTTTGGTCAGCTCATGTGGTCCTGGCGTCGGGAGGAGCTTGTCGTAGAACCGCTTGACGATCGCGGCCGTGTCGGCGCCCGAGTACTCGTCGTTGAGGGCCAAACACACCTCTTTGCCACGTCCTTCCAGCACGCGCGAAAACACTGCGTTCATGTCGGCGTGGGCTTTGGCGCCGTCCGCAAGCCGCACGAGAAGCCACGTGTCGGTCGACTCGGCCGTGGGGTTGAGCGTATACGGCACGCCGAGCGCCTTGGAGCCTTCTTCAATCATATAGACCGCGTGCAGCAAGGGAAAGTTGAGGTCGGACGGCGACCGCACTTGGTTGGTTCCTGTCGCATCGAGCGCGGCCTTGAACGCCGCCTTGGCGTGAATGGCCTCTTGGGCGAGGCGAGAGTAGACGAACGGCGCGTGCTTCATGAAGTTGTACACGTGTTGGCCGCCGTAGACAGAGTCGGTGAGCTGCAGCGTGTTGCGGACGCTTGCGAGCCATGCGTTGCCGCCCTAGCCATACTGTTATTGATGGGAAGAGAGGAGGTGGAAGCATGTACGTCGGCGGGGACGTGGCGAATGTGGTTGACTTCGGTGAGCATGCGGATACCGCCGCCGTGGCAGGTAAAGAGGTGCGACGGCTGAACGTCCTTGACAAATATGTAGTCGTCGTTCATGTGGATGAAGATGTCGGTGAGGCCCGGGATCTTGTGCAGATACTGCTCGATCACGTTCGTGTCAAAGTTGGGCAGCGTGACGACGTCCGATGGCAGCAAGTCGTCTTGGTCGATGACGGTAATGCGCGGGTTGGACGTGTCGAGCCAGTCGGGAATCTGGCCAGGCGACACAATGTAGATGGGGCCCTAGGATGCTGTGAGCGCCATGGCAAAATACGAGTGGGCAATGTACCTCGAGCCATGGCGCAAACTTGAGCAGCGACCGCAGCGAGTACTTGAGCTCGCCTATCTCCTTGTCGCGCGAGCTACCGCCCTCGGAGAGCCCGGCCTGCACGCGCCGCTTGTTGTAGCACGGCTCGTTGCCGTTGACCCACGTGTACACGATCGCGCTGTGGCGGAGATGCTCGAGGTTCTCGACGGGGCAGCCCTCCGACGAGAGCTCGGACCAGGCGCCAACGACCTCAGACGTCGGCTCCTCGAGCAGCGACAGCGTCGCCACGAGCATGAAGACGACGAGGATGTACGAGAGCGCCGTCGCGTAGCGCATGCTTCGTCCGCTTGAAAAATGAAAAAATCCGGCGCCGCAAAAAAATAAAAATAAAATAAAAATAAACAACACCTGTTCGAGGATCGAACATCGCTTGCACGGAAGGATGGAAGGATTCCCGATGGCCGAAGGGAAGGTCCGCCTGACATCCATCCGTCGCCCTGCGGCGGGACCGGCGCATGGACGTGCTCGGCGACGACGCCATGGCGCGAGTCGTGGCGGTAGCTGCCAAGCGGTAGGCCATGGCGAATCCAAGCAGAACCCGGCTAGGGCCTCGCCACGACCACGCCCACCTTGGCCACGCGCGATGCCAGCCTTGCTCTCACCGTGCACGTATAGCAAGAAGCTCATCGCGAGAAGGATGCATGCACTAAGGTTGATGGTCGTCTTTTAGCGTTTACCGACAACTAACGCTGCTCGACAATGGACCTCTCTAGACGCGGTCGTAGGCGGGCGTCGACTTGAGCTTCTTGGCGTCAAAGAGCGCAGCATACACGACGTAGACGAGGACGAGGCCAAAGCCAAAGCCACAGCCCTTGAGAACGGCGTTGAGGAAGACGACCCAGCGCACTTCGTGGCGGACGATGACCTTGAACTTGGTGCTTTGGTCGACCGCCTCGGCCAAGGGCGGCAAAATCGCCGGGTCGTAGAGGCACGTCTTGGTGTTGTACACGGAGAGGTGCTTGTTGGGCTCCTTGGCCTCGAACGGACTGGGCTCGGGCAGAAACGTGTTGAAGAACCAGCGCGCGTTCTCGGCGACCGCCATGTCGCTGTACTCGTCGTTGAGCGCGAGGATCTTGGCGTCGTACGTGCCAGCAATGACCTCGTCAAAGATGCTCTTGACCTTGGGGATGTTGCCGTTCTCGAGCATGAGGAGCTGGTACCCGGTCATCTCTTCCTGCGGCGGTACTTCAATCGGGATCCCGAGCTCCCGCGCGCCTTGGGCCTGCATGTAGTAGTGATGCAGTAGCGGGATGTTCATATCGGGCTTGCCCCGGAACTTGCTCTTGAGCGTCATGTACATGGGGCGGTCAAAGATCTGGTGGATACGCTCGAACGCGCGCCGGCTGTAGATGAACGGCGCGTGCTTGATGAAGTACCGATCTTCTTGGCCCCAGCGAAGGTCCATTTCTTGCTGCGTGTTGAGCACCGACGCGACCCAGATGCCCTTCTTCTCGGTCGGCGGCTCGTGCGAGATGAGGCCGGGTTCGTGCAAGAGGCGGATGCCACCGTCGCACGTAAAGAACTCGTGCGGTGCAATGTGCTTGGTGAAGATGTAGTCGTCGTTGATCTGCATGTAGATATCCGAGAGGCCCGGGATGCGGTAGAGGAACTGCTCAATGACGTGCGTGTTGAAGGACGGCAGGAACGGCTTGGCGTACGATGGGAACAAGTCGTCTTGGTTGACGACCTTGATGCGCGGGTGGTCGAGGTTGATCCAGCTCGGAATGTGCCCCGGCGACACGATGTAGATGTTGCCTTCGTGCCATGGCATAAACTTGATGAGCGACCGGATCGAGAACTTGAGCTCGCCAATCTCGCGGTCGCGCGACCCGCCGATCGCGTTGTCGCCGCCGTGCTTCTTGCGGATATCGCGGTAGCATGGCTGGCTGCCGTTGACCCACGTGTACACGATCGACATGCGCTTGAGCGCGTCAAAGTTCTGGATCTGGCACTTGTCCGGGTACAAGTCGCGCGAGTCGGCCGAGATCGACTGCGCCGCAATGTCCTTGTACAGGGTCTCGCTCGCCGTCGCCTCGAGGCAGAGCCCGAGCACGTACACGGCGAGCATGCCCACGACGCAGTAGCCGAGCACGGTGTTGCGCTGCCAGAGGAAGCGCGCCCGCGCGGCCATCGGCGTCTGCATGCTGCTTCTCGGCCGCCAAACCCCAAGTCTGGGATCTCGCTACGTTCGTAATATATTATTCGATGCTTTTTGGCCAATCAGAGGCGTCGACGCCTCCACGCTGTTGATTTGGAAAACGTATGGGTGGCCGACACCGTCGTCGAACGCTTGAAACACGCAACTTGCGCCGCCCTTTCCTCATGTATGTGCCGGCGAGCCCGCTTTGTACGAGGCGACAATCGGGGCACAAAGAGATGCTTCACGCGATGCAAGCTTGTGGGCGCGCATGGAAAGGATGCAGGCCACCTACCGAGCAATGAAGATGGGCAAAACGCAGTCCGCATCTAAAAGTTGCGTGCGAATAGCATGACGCCAGAGGCTTCTTTTTCGGAAACTTTGCCGCCAAACATCGAAAATGGAACGCAAAATGTACGAAATGGAAGTTGGAGACAAGATATTCCTGGTGCGTCTACTCGAGGCGCGTGACCATCTTGCGCTTCCGGCGCCAGCGCCAGCGCATGGACGAGAGATGCGCGTCGCTCTCACCGTCTTCGTCGTCGCCTTCGTTGAAGCAGACGTTGTCCAAGAGGCCGTACAGCGTCGGGCCATACCGCTCGACCATCCACGTGACAAAGAGCGAGGTGAACTTGCCGTTGCGGTCCATCGTTTGCACTTGCTCGAGGATGTAGGCGGCAAAGCAGATGAGGTAAATGTACCGCTCCAAGTAGTTGACTAGGCACACGAGAATGAGTCCCCGTCGCACTTGCGCTTGGCATCGTACCAGCACGGTGCATGTAGAAGCTCTGCTTCTCGGCTGTGATACCACGCTCCTTTGTCAAGTCGCGGCACTGCGCAATGCACTCGCGAAGGTTCTGGAGGTGTTCGCACTGGTCAATCGCATAGTCGGCCAGCGCTTTGCTACAAAGACAATCATTTGTATCAATCTATCAAGTCGACCGATGTACCTCTCGGCGCCGTTCTCGAGTACATCAAGAAGCGACTGGATCACAAAGTAGTCGCCGCTCTTGGCGTAGCTTTGGTACGACTTGTCGGCGGCGGCCGCCATGTACACGGACTTTTGATTGTTGAGTGCAACCTTGAGCATATAGACGCAGACCATCGCCGACGTCGTGCGGCCGCGGCCCATTTGGCAGTTGCACACGACGGCCGTCTCGTCGACGCCGGCGGCGGCTTCGGCTGCAAACGTCGGTACGACAAGGCGCACGATGTCGTCCAAGTCCTTTTCTTCCGGCGCGGTCTCGTCCGACACCTACCCCATCGCATGAGAACGTGCCACGTCATACTCAAACTCAAAGTCAAAATCAAACGTACGGGAATGCGGGCGTAGCGCACGGGCAGCGTCTTGGCAATCTTGGTGTACACGTCCGCGAGCGTCTTGACGTCGGTTTGGGGGCGGATGTAGACCATCTGCTCTTCGTCGGGAATGCCCACTTCTTGGGCCCTTTACATAATCAATTAGTCGATATGTGAAAAACGAATAGTAGAATACCAGTAGAGGAAGAGGCCGTTCTTTTGCGACGCCTCGGCGATCGTGTTGTCGCGGAACTTGGCTTCGATGGCCGCGAGCTCGGTCGCTTCAATGCCCGGAAGCTCGACGTTTTCGCCAAACTTCGGCGGATACCGAATCGCATACGGCTTGCCCGCGACGTACAGGACGACCTCTTCGCGCATGTTCATCCAGATGATCTGCTTGAAGCCGAGCGTCTCGTGCAAGTGCGCTGCGACTTGCTGCAAGCCCGCTTCAAAGCACTAGTAGCGATCAGTACTCTACGTTCTATGAGAAAAATGCATATACCTGGGCCGTGCCAAAGACACAGGACGTGCCGACGCGGCGGTAGTTGATGACAGCCGTGCCGAGGCTCGGCGGCAAGCGCACGATGCCCGGAAAGTGGTCGTACTTGACGACCGCGTTCTTCATGACCGAGTCGTAGTCGTACTTGGCGCCACCCATGTCGTCGAGGAGGCGGAAGAGGTTCGAGTGGTGGTGCATCCACGACGTGAACGACTTGGTCGTGGCCTCTTGGTCGAGCACAAACGACGCATATGCGATGAGGAGGAAGTAGCGCTCGAGAAACGCGCAAGCTTGTTTGAGGTAGAAGGCGCGGCGCACGGGCTTGGGGTCCGCGAGGGATTTCTATCAAGGTATCAAGGTATCAGCAACAGGCACGCGCATGTCGCGTTGTACTTGGTTGCAGTCGGTGATGGCCGACCGAATGTTGTAGATGAACGCACAGTTGTCAATGACCGCATCGGCAAAGGGCTTGGCCGTCGTCGCATGGGGAATACGCTTGACGAGTTCATGGATGACCTGCGCCAAGTATCAACCTCGGCAAAGTTGACAGATTGAAACGTACCTTGTACTCTTCTTCGGGCGGCACGTCGCCATGATGCTCGGACGCAGCAATGACGTCATCGGGGCAGTGCTTGTTGAGGGCCAGCGCAGCCACGACCATGGCTATATACATGAACGTCACGCACACCGTCATGCCACGACGCTGCATCGCATACCTGTGGTCGTCCGCCACCGACCGAGCTATTACGTCAGTGAAAATGAGACGAGGCAAGACTACCAAATGTCGTACTTGGCAGTTGAAGACGAGTGCCGTATCGGCGCTGCGGTGGTCGAGCAGCCCCGTGAGGAGTTCGAAATGCTCGTTCTCAGGAGCGTTGTCGCGCGAGATGGGCACACGGAGGTACTTGATGGTCTCGATGCCCGCTGGCTTGTCCAAGTTGCCGTCAAACACGTTGGCCAGTGTCGCGACCTAGGGCCGTCGGTCGTATCACCCAGCATGGACACCTTGTCATTGCGTACGTCTGTCGGGAGCGTCCCGATGCGCGACACCATCTCGTACTGCAGCGTCGACGGCTCCGTCCAATATTCAAAGGCGCCGTTGGGCTCCTTCTCGAGCTGCTCTTGGAGACTGCGCTTGAGAGATTTCTCAAGCACTTGGACCGTATGGCCTGTGAGCGACCCCGCGAGGTCCTGCTCGTTCGAGTTGACGTTGCGCCGCGCTGTGTACGACTCGCCGCCGACAAAGAGCACCGCTTCCTACAGCCATGTACGTGGACCTCTCCGCCGTAGGCAAGCGTCTCGTACCTCACGCAGGTTGACCCAGATCACGTGCTTGTAGCCATCGGTCGCAATGGTTTCAAGGATGTGGTGGATACCAGCCTATGCACTCGTTAGCCAGGACGGTCGACTTTGCGCAGCGTGTCGTACGAGCGATGGCTGGGCACCGCCGTAGATGGGCAGCCCAGGCAGCCGGCGAAAATTGGGCGCAATGTCCTTGTGGGCCGAGACCAGCGTGATCTGGTCGGGCATGCGGTCGCTCTTGAGAATGTACTTGCCGAGGACCTTGGTACCCTGGGCCTGGAACCGGTTGGAGCGCACGATGCTGCCGCGCTCGATGCGGCCGCGGATGTGCGCTTGGATTTTCGTGGCTGCGATCGCCCAGTGCGACTGCGACTTGAAGCGCGTGAGTTCGAGCTTGGACGACACGACTTGCTCGTGCATGAACTCGAGCTCGGCCTGGACCGGCGCGAGCAGCTCGCGCAAGGCGCGCTTCGGGTCGCGTGCGGCCGCGATCTCGGGCGCCCGCGCAATGATCGTTTCGAGGAGCGCCTTGTCCATCGGCGTCATGTTGGTCAGCGTTTCGTCCTCCGCCATCGGTTCGGCTCGTGTCTCGTTGGCAGATGCGGCCGTTTCATCGTGGGCCGCGAGCTTGAAGAGGTCGCGCAGCTTCCACACGCGCATGGTGGGGATAGGAGGCGGGCGATTTGCAAATGGCGCGGGCGTCGCAAGCCGACGGGGCTGTCTTTGCGCCGCCGCGCCACTTCTCGCATATGTCTCACTACGGTAGTGCGGAAGGACGCCAAAGACACGCGGCGGCAAGGGCCAAGCATCGACATTCGACATGTAGAGGCTCTGCTACTTCAACGGAATGTCAACTCTGTCGGTGGACACACAGCGATGGCGAGCTGTCGCCTGCTATGCGTAGCTCTAGTCGGTGTGCACTGGGCACCTCGGCGGCGCCGGCAAGAATCTGAGGTCGTGCGATGGATTACGATCCGCGATCATGGACGAACACTGCAGGTGGCGCCACTGTCTACGAACACCAAGTTGAAGTTGGTCTGCTCTGCGTATCTTTTGATCAGCTCGAATCTTGCGGCGTTTCCCGGTGCGACAAGCCGACGCGGCTCGGGATGACCGCGGGCACCGAGCCCGTCAGCGCTGAATTCTAGGGCTTGAAGCCTCGGAGCTGGTCGATGGTCGTTGCTTCGCTAGGCGTAGACCTTGATGCAGCCGGCCAACGCCATGGTCTTTGCATATAAGCAAGGGTCAACCCTTGACCCTTGATATAAGCTATCACCTCCGATCGACCGCTGCACCGACAGAGGTGGCCGATCGCGGACCCATGTTCTGGAGAACTTAGCCATGACAGGGCTACTACGGTGCCAGAGTATAGACACTGCGACAACGGACCCAACGAGGCGCCTGCACGTCCCTTGCAGTAGCTGACCCTTTCCACCTCGGCTTGCTTGTCCGCAGGCTAATCCCAGTACTATTTGAGACAGTCTTGATTTCAATACATGATATGAGACGATAAATAAGATGCAATTGGCGTGATATTCGTTGCCTGCGATTGGTGCAATCGCACGGGATTACAACCAATGGCCGTCGGCGTTTCTAAATGGCACACATGCAGCACCGCGACGTCGGCGTCCTCCGCGGCCATAAGCGACCTGTCAACTGCTTGGCCAAGTGCTTGAGCGGCGCGCCCGACCTGCTCGCGTCTGGCTGAGAGAGAGTGGTCGGGTTTACGAGGTATAAGACTGGGGCTGCTCTCAATTGAAGCCTTGTTGGAGGCGAGAAAAGGCGTGCTGGTCCATCGCCAGTGGCCGCTTCTGTCAGATGGGATATATCAATTTTTATCAAAGTCTCCAATTACGCGCGAGGTTATTGTCTTTTATCGCGTGCAACTCGTTGAGCCCGTTTCGTCTACGCGTTTTGGGCAGAATTGGCCGGTGGAATACAGAGCAATGACACAATATGTGAAATGGTGGTGATGGTGACACCGACGATTTTGTACACCTTATATTCCGAGTTGAGTTTCTAGCCGAGAATCTCATGTCGAATTTCGAGTTGAGGTGTGTCCGGATAACGCTTTCGGACGGCATTTTCAAAAAAGTGAGATCCTACCGCTAGCATGCAACTGTACCAACGTTGTCCATGCGAATCCCCTTGTGGAGGTAGATCATGTTTTGACGGCGCTCATAGATGTCCTCGACAATCGCACGGAACGCGTCCTTTTAACGGGCCTGGAGGGACCGTAATTCGTCCTCCCCTACTAGTACTGTAGTGATCCGGATCTGTAAATCGTTGCGACTCGTGTCCTCTGGACGATTAACTCGCCCATTCTCCCATAACTTCGTCGGATGAGCGAATAAACAGCGCAGTTTTGACTAATACGATATAAACAGCGCAGTTTTGACGACCGTACTTAACAAAGTATACACTTTGGTAATACGATATATGAATACTAGTACGATCCGCCAAAAACGCCGATTATCACAATACATATAATCCTGTCATAGCAAATGTTGAGTTTTGTCCAATCAACCGTATTTCCACGACCAGACTCGACCAGACTCGACCAGACCATGGTCTGCTCGTCGCTCGTCGCAGCTCTCGTCGCATGCAACGTCATGCAATGCCATGTGCTGACCGCGTTCCGGACGCGACCTCACTGTCATTGCCGACGCGTCGGTACTTGACAACTAAACTGCACACGGCTGGTTTCCTGGCGCTGGCAGAATCCCGGTGCAGGCGAAACCGTCGAAAATCACAGGACCTCAAAGGGCGTCAGGTAGGGGGCCTACCCATTTTACTTTTATTATAACCTCTTTAAAACAGGATAAAAGTATGCAATAAAATAAAAAGGACGCCTCAAAAATCAAGATGGTCGCGTCGATGAGATGCGGTGTCGGCAAGCATGCATGCGCGCGCTTCGAAGGCCCGACTAAGGCCGCGCGGACCTTCAACTAACTACGGGGCGGCTTCCATTTTCCAGAGAGCTTGAAGCAGAGGCTGACGATGGTGGGCCGCTTTGTCACGAATCGCTCCGGCCCCGGCGGATCGGCCGCGTTCGAGCTCGACCCGGCGAGCGTCTCGGCAGTCTTTCCCACGCACGACTTCTCGACGGCGCTCAAGGCCATGGTTGAGGTCTCGCTCCGCGACGTTGGCAGCCTTCTACCCAAGGATGCCCACGACATCGACACGGCCAAGCTTCAGGCCTTTTTTCCGGACGGCCTCGAGGCCACGGATGAGCTCGTCGTGCTGCCGTACAGCAAAGTTCGGACTCAAACGGTGGGCCTCGACAACCTCCCGACTCTTCCTCTCGGCCACCGCGCTGTGTTTCTCGGGCAGGTCAAGCTGGAGCTCGCGCCGGGTATCGACCCGACGCGGTTCATCGCGATTGGTGGCCCGCAGCTCGACATCCTCCTTGCGGGGAAGTATCGCCTCATGAAGTGGAAGCGCGACGTCCAAAAATTGCTCCAAGCCTCCGCAGCGATTCCGGCCAACCCGCCGACGACGCCTCAGCGTATCAGAGGCAACCCGCACCTCATGGCGTCTCCGTCGCCCCATCGCATCGGCGGGCGCACCATGACGTCTCCGTCACCCCAGCGCATGGGCGGGCGCTTCACGGCATCTCCGTCGGCCCGAGGCTTGTCGCCACTACCGACGCGATCACCAATCTTGATCGATCACATTCCACTGCCGTCGCCGGCGTCGTCGCCCGTCCAGAAGAAGAAGAAGGCCGGCGCGCGTCTCAAGGCAATGGCGGAATTCGACCCGATCAAGACGATGAAGACGGCGTTCGACGACGCTAAGACGCCCAAGACGCTCAAGACGCCCAAGACGCTCAAGACGCCGAAATCGTCCTCTGAGACGCGCCGTTTTTTCCTCCAAGCGCTATTGCCCGACGCGCCCGCGTTCTCGGCCAAGATGTCGACCAAGGAGACGCACAAGGAGTACTTTACTGCGCTACTCATCGCCGAAGCCCAAGCCGCGATCGCCTCTGGGTACGTTTTCTCTCGATATCGCAATATAAACTCATATTTTCTGTGTAATTAGGAAACAAACGCTGCCGGCTACTTTTACCGCACTCGCAGCTTCATTCGAAGGCGTCTCGGACCCCAACGTGGCGACGTTCAAGACGCTCGAGAAGAACTTGCTCATTTTTGGCGACGTCGTCCGCCTCAAAGTGTGTCAATCGACTGCCTCCTCTATTTCTATACGCATTAAATGATTAGGTCGACAGCGCGCGACATGCGATCGGCATCGTCGAGCGCGTGTACGGGCCCATGATCGACATCGTCCTCCTCCAGGCGGACAAGAAGGCGCTCGGCCTCCCGAAGACCAAGGCGATCGATGCCAAGGTGGTCACGTCGCTGGTGACGACGCTGCGGATGCTGGACGGCGTCGGCTCCGTCGACAAGTTGCCCGAGCATTTGCGCGACGTCGTGCTCAACCAGTCGAGCGCCGCCGCGACCGTCTCGGTGCTCAAGGCTGCTGCGACGACGCTCCGTGACGTTATCCAGAAGTCGACCGGGTTGCCCAAGACGCCGACCAAGGGCAAGGGCAAGAAGCCGGCCAAGAAGAAGGTACAATGCTTTCTTTGCCGTGTCTCGCCTCACATTAATGCAATAGATGCCCACGGACGACGAAGACGCCGTGTTGACGCTCTTAATGGACCTCGCCAAGATGACGTTGTCGGTCGAAAGCCTCGAGGTACGATATCCCTTGATTTGCGTCTCAATATATTATTGTTGTGTGCTTAGGCGACCCAGATCCACGAGGTCGTGGCCGAGCTTGTCGACAAGGCCAAGGCGCCGACCGAAGACATTGCGATGGCGGCGGCCACGCTCGACAACTTGTACAAGTTGCTCCTCACGGTACACCTCTTGTCTTCACACTGCGCAAACTTGCTCCCTTCTGCTTTAGCCGTCGCTCTACGACGTGGACCGCACGGTGGCCGGGCTCCTCGCGTCGGAGATGAACGCCACGCAGTTCCAGGCGCTGCGTCGCGGCCTCGGCAACCTCGAGACCGGTATCTCGCTTTGGAAGGGTCCGCCGGGTACTGGCAAGACGACGACGATCTGCGCCCTGCTCTCGGCCCTCCTCTCCAAGGCCCCACCGTCCAAGGGCCGGCTCCCGAGTGTTCTCGTGACCTCGGACTCGAACGCGGCGATCGACGAGATCATCGAGCGCGTCTTCTCGGTCGGCATACACCTCGTCGGCCACCCTACGAAAGTCCGAGCGCAACTGCCGCGCCCGAAGGATCTGCCGCAGCCCGCGCTCACGGCCGTCAAGATGGGCAGTCGACATGGCGCGCGGGACATTGGCCTCGCGACGGCGGCCGATCACTACAAGGCCGAGATCAACGACGCGCTCCGCCGGCTTCCCGCCAACGACAAGCGCGTCATGGACCTCCACGTCAAGAAGGACCGAAGCAAGTCGGAGCTCTTGGCGCGCATTGCGGACAGGGCCAACATCGTCTTTGCGACGCATTCGTCGTGCGCGGGTTCCGACATGGCGTTCAAGCTCCGGCAATCGGGGTACGCCTCTCTCTCACCCAATGAAAACGCATTTGCATCTGTAGCTTTGACGCGGTCATTGTCGACGAGTGCGGCCAAGCGACCGAGCCAAGCTCGCTTCTCGCGCTCCTCGCGCAAGCCGGTCGGTTCTTTTTGGTTGGCGACACCAAGCAGCTCGCGCCGACGGTGCCCAGCAAGGCCGCAGAGGAGCACGGCTTGGCCGTCTCGCTCATGGAGCGCTTGGAAGGGTATCTGCCCGTGACGATGCTCAACGTACGTACTACAAAGGATCATAATTTGATTCTCACCCAACGACTGTAGGAGCAACACCGCATGCACCCCTTTATGAGTGCATTCACGACCAAGGCGTTCTACGACGGTGGCTTGACGGACGCGCCGGCGATCGCGCGACGTGTGCTGGCCCAAGACCCGGCCATGTACGCGCACCCGATGTTCCAGCCGCTCACGGTCGTCGACATTGCGGGTGTCGAGAAGTTCGTCGGCACGTCCAAGTACAACGACGCCGAAGCCACGTTTTGCATCGACCAGGTCCGTCGTTCATGACGCACGTCATGCTGACATTCCTTTTTGTAGATCGAGCAACTCATGATGACATACCCGCGCGTCCAGAGCGGCGAGTGGAGCATCGGCGTCATCACGCCGTACAAGCCGCAAGTGCACAAGCTTGTGGCCGCCATTGACGCCAAGATTGCGGCCAAGATGATGGACACCAAGCCGTGGTCCAGCATTGAGGTGTCGTCGGTCGACGGCTTCCAGGTACCTCTCGCAATAAAAGATCATGGGACTGAGGTGCAATTTAGGGCCGCGAGAAGGACATTATCATCGTGTCGTGCGTCACGAGTGGCAAGATGGGCTTCCTCGCCGACGACCGCCGCACGAACGTCATGACATCGCGCAGCCGCCGCTTCTGCCTCATCAACTGTACATTTATTGTCTCTGGACGACGATGCGACAGGACACTGTAGGCAATGCCTCGGCGCTCCAAGGCCACGCGACGTGGCGCAAGCTGTTGGCGCACGCCAAGCACAAGTGCGCGTTTGTCGACGCCGGCACCAAGAGCTTTGCGGCGGTGTGGGCCGAGACTGAGGCGGACGACGACCTCAAGGCTCGCGTCTTCTACCAGCACGCGACGCTCCGTGCGACGCTCGAGCAACACGAGGACGAAGAAGAAAAGGCGGACCCGTGCGAGGAAGAGAATGCCCCGAACGAGCAAGAGACCAATGACGAGACGCTTTATGACGCCAAGCGCAAGCGCCGCGACAGTCCCAAGGTACGTCTCGACTGGAACGCCTTGGATCTCATTTGTCTCGGCAACTAGGGTCGCGGCACTCCCAAAAAACGTTCTGGCGCCGCGCAAGGGTAGGGTATCGTGCGTTATCGCTCCGATGGCTCATGCAAAAGTGCAGAAGGCGCGTCGGACGTGACCAAGCGCGACGCAGGCCACTATGAACCGTCTCCAGCCCGCGGACACCGCGCCTGCGCTGCTCCTTATTTTATTCCTAATTAATGCGTATTTAACAAGCACCTGCATGAGGTTGATCGAGATCGCTACGTGTCCCCTTGGCATTCCGACATTTCGACATTCCAAACCAAATCGTGGACCCATGTTCTTGAAAACTTGGCCATGACAGGGCTACTACGGTGCTACTACGGTGCCAAAGTACTGTATAGACACTGCGACGACGGACCCAACGGGGCGCCTGCACGTCCCTTGCAGTAGCTGACCCTTTCCACCTCGGCTTGCTTGTCCGCAGGCTAAT